TGTCCTCAAATAATTGGTTGCTTTTCTCCAATTCTCAATGCTTCCGTTTTTATTTTAGGAAAGGGAAATGCTAGCTAATGGAGGTATTGGCAAACATAATTATCCGTCTCTCACGTTTAACTCTTTACTCGTTTAGTTTTCGTTAGCAAATATTCTGTTTAATACACGTATATATATTCGTATATATTTTATCCGTTTATAATTTTCGTATTCGTATTATTGTCAAGCTGTTTCTAAACACTTATAAAATCCGTATAACACATTTAATATCCATATTAATGAATTAAATTATTAAATTAACTATTATTTATATATTTATTTATTTTTAAAATAACTAACTTCATATATTTATTACTATTAACGTACTATTAAACGTAACATTAGTTTAGAGACAAAGTTAAATACTCGTATGTATTTTATACGTAATTGTCTTGTACAGTATTTTATTAACTATACCTTCACACCAAAAGCAATAATTAGTTCTTTTCTTTTCATTCCACCCTCTTTTAGCTTCACTAGTTACAACTTTTCATTTGGATTTTCTATGGTTCATCAAAAATACTCTTCTAAATATATAAAGAAAATAATTGAGAATGTAAAAAATCAAAATATAGTCTAAAATTATAGCTATTTTATTTAGTACGTGGTGAATTTTATATCCTCAATTAATAATATCGTCATGATTTAATTGACATGGATTGACTAGTATGAACAAGTTGTCATACATTAATATAAATTTGTAATAAAAGAAATTTATACTTGTTATTATTACACGCGTACGACTTCTTACTACCCACATAACATTGTTACGTGAGACCAATGTTCAAGAAGGCGCTAGTGTAAGCGTCCCTAGTTGTTGGAAATAAAAATAATAGTATGCATTATGTAATGAATGAAGTAATTGTTACAACACTTTCAAACTTCAGCTCAAATAATTAATAACTTATTTAACACTTAATGACAAAAAAATAACTAACAAGTTTTTTTTTTTGTCAAGCAATCCTTGCGGATAACATAGGTAACAGGTGAGGGGGCCACAACAATTACGGCCACACCTCACAAGGACTCAAAGACATAAGAGATAAGAAAAATCATGTAAAGCAGGGGATATGCCAGGATAACGTAAGGCATTTCGTGCCAGCCCATTTGATAAGAAAAATCATGTAAAGCAGGGGATATGCCAGGATAACGTAAGGCATTTCGTGCCACCAAATGGGCTGCCCGATTCGCTTCTCGAGGCGTAAAAATAACTTTAACAGCAGGGAAAAGTCTGAGTAGGTGGAAGATCTCCCTCAAAATAGCACCCCCAGCGACGTAGCCAGTGCATCTGTCATTCAAGCGAGTCACCACTAATTGTGAATCACCAGAGATGAGAACCGGAATCGAGAACCATTGCCAACGGTGCAGTAAATACAAAGCCTCACGAAACGCGAGTAATTCCACCAAGAAAGGATCGGCTATCCTTGGCAAATAACACCCAAAGGAAAAACAAGGCCTTGAGTCACAAAAGTCAACGACTCCCAACGATCCACCATGAGGAGAATTGGTTGCACCATCTACCGCAAATCGAACTCCTTGGGCCGGAATAGGCGTAGGGCACTGACGAGGATGGGGAATTTGAGTAGGGCGAGCATTGTGAAGAGGGTAGATATCCGCCGAAGAAGCCAACTGGATATCCGCGTGATGAGCAAGAAACTGGCGATGGAGAACGGGAATTGTATACTGAGCATGCGGGAGGAAGACAACGTTATTACGACCTTTCCAAACTCTCCAACAGAACAAGATCCATTTCGTAATGAGAGCAGCATCACCATCTTGAAAAAGGGTTCGCCAAAGAAGGGAGAAATGGAATTCAGGCGCGAAATTTAGCGGCAACTGGAGACCAACAGACTGTCGAAGAGAGATCGCCACCGGACAACGGAGAAATAAATGTTCTAAAGATTCACCCTCCTCCGAGTCACACACCGGACACAAATTGATCAAATCTACACCACGTAGTTGGAGATCCTCACGAACCGGCAGAATACGAAGTAGAATTCTCCAAATGAAAAATCTGAGCTTAGGAGTGATAGGAAACTTCCATAATTTGGGTAAAATAGTTGGATCTAAAGGAGAGGCAGTAATCTTTGAAGGAGCAACCCTAGGCTTGCTAGTAGATAAAGAACTCGCCAAGTGATAAGCCGACTTAACCGAAAAAACCCCATGAGAATCAAAGTGCCAAAGTAAGCGATCCACATCAGAAACTCGGGGGAGAGGGATAGCAGCAATTGCGTTCACCGAGCTGGGTTCAAAATAAAGGCGCAACTTGGGCATGTCCCAGGATCGGGTAGTGGAATTGATAAAAAATGACGCATAGCGAGCAGAGTCCGAGGCTGTTGGTAAGCATTGAGGGCGAAAATTTAGCAAAGAAGGTACCCAGGGATCACTGAAAGCATCCACCAATTGTCCAGAACTAATCTCCCAGCGCAAACCATGGACAAGCAAGGATCGCCCATGAAGAAGTGATTGCCAAGCCCATGAAGAATTCGTACCCCTGGACGCGTAGAGAAAGGATGTATTGGAGAAGTAGCGTCCTTTGAGTACTCGCGCAACCAGGGAATCAGGCTCCGAGAGAATGCGCCAACACTGTTTTGCTAACAAAGCCTGGTTGAAGGCCTCAAAATCACGAAAGCCTAATCCTCCTTCAGATTTGGGCCTACATAACCCTCGCCAAGAAACCCAAGGCAAACGCCGTTCATTTCCCTTTTGGCCCCACCAAAAACGAGCAATCAAATGATTGATATTCCGACACAATTTTTGGGGCAAACGAAAACAAGACATTGCATAAACCGGCAAAGCAGAGACCACAGATTTAATGAGAGTTTCCAAACCAGCCAAAGAGAGACATCGGCGTTTCCAACCTTGAAGTTTTTTGGAAACGGCATCTTCAATATACCGGAACGTTTCCCGTTTAGACCTTGAGATCAAAGTAGGTAAACCCAGATACCGGTCAGTACACCCAATAGCACCTACCTGTAGCAATTGACCAAACATCGTAGCCTCTACAGAAAGGGTGTTCCGCGAGAAAACCACGGCCGATTTAGAAAGGTTGACTCGTTGGCCACTCATGAATTCATAGCGACGGAGGAGATCCAGCAAAGAGTGACAATCAGAAGTAGATACACGCATGAAAAAATAAGCATCGTCAGCAAAGAACAAATGTGATAACACTGGACAATGATGATTAAATCTAATCCCCTTGAGAGCACGAGATGCCACGGCCTGACTTAGTAAAACAGAGAATCCCTCGGTACAAATTGCAAATAGTAGTGGCGAAAGAGGATCACCCTGACGCAAACCACGCGACGGAGAGAAATACCCGTAAGAGCAACCATTCAGAAGGACAGAAATTGAAGTCGTCGACAAACAATTCCTCAAGAGTGTAATTAACCGAGCGTCAAAGCCAAGTTTGGTCATGATTCCAAACAGATATGGCCACTCACTCCGGTCGTAAGCTTTTTCCATGTCAAGTTTCAGGGCCATAAAGCGTTCCCGGCCGCTTCGTTTATTTTTTAAATAATTCATCACTTCCTGACTGATGATAACATTATCTATGATTGACCGGTCTTTTATAAACCCATTTTGAAAAGTGGAGACAACATCCGGCAAAACCGACCCCAAGCGAGTGGCAAGAAGCTTTGCAATCACCTTGTAAGAAACCTGACAGAGACCAATAGGGCGCAACTGAGCACAAGTTTCGACACTCGAAACCTTCGGGATCAGAGTGAGCCAGGTATGATTAAAAGATCAGAGTAGATTACCAGTATGGAAAAATTGTTGCACCGCAAGACAAACATCGTGACCCACAATGTCCCAAAAATGCTGGAAAAATAGGGCAGTGAAACCATCAGAGCCCGGGGCCTTCGATGGACCAATCTGAAACAAGGCACTCTTAATGTGTGAAGAAGAAACTGGCGCAAGGAGTGAATATGCAAAAGAAAAAAAAGAAGTGGTCATCCAAATAGAAATTCCGTCCGCCTATACATCCGGACCTCCATTAGCTTGCATTTCCCTTTCCTAAAATAAACACAGAACCATTAATTATTGAAGAAAAGCAACCAATTATTTGAGGACATGTGGCCCGGCAGCAGGGTTGGCTACAACCCGGGTTGCAGCTAAGTTTCGTCCTTCTTGTAATCAAACTTGAAATCTGTGGATCATTAGTCATGGACCAAAACGCCACTACCCAAACAGACGGAATCCATGAATAGCGTCCCATCATCTTTGTATTCTGCTTGTTATTTTGTCAATTCTTAGTTAAAAATTGTATGAAAAATTAAGGATAATGTCTATTTTATATTCAAAATTTTTCAGATTATTTTATATTATCCAAATCTATCGAAATGCTAAAAATTAGTCAAATGTTAATTCTCAATTAGCAATTTTGTTAGTAATATTGACTTGGCAACATGATATTGGCTTGGAAGAGACTCATGAAGGTCAACATTCTAAAATTTTAGTATTTTTAACTAAGAAAAGAGTTACAAAATTATTAACGATAACGTAAAAATGACTAATATTTTGATACATTGCGAAAGATTTGGCTAATTTATAGTATTTCGATAGGTTTTGATAATATAAAATAATCTGAAAAAGATTTGGATAAAAAATAGACATTACCCAAAAATTAAAATGGTTGTAAATATCAAGCTTCTTTTGTTTTTCGGCAGAAACAGAGAAGGAAAATGAATACACACTGTCAGTCTCCTCGAACTCCCGCTCCGGTGGACTCTCCAACAACGCTTCAGACGTTGATCCCATATCCAAACTCTATCTAACGCCTCCATAGAATTCCCTCACCCTTTTCCCCCAAATTATACTCTGTAAACAGAGGCCAAGGAACCCTTCACCGACCCTCTGTACCCATCGGAAAACGCCCACCAGTCAATCTCAGAAGAATAAAGTCGCCCTCCCTGTCCTGTGAGTCATCCCCCTCCCTTCTGCGTCGTCTCTGTTGGACTCGTCGAAACAAGTCCCTGCCTCCCTGGAGGTCACTTTCCCCACCAAATCAAGCTTTCTGCCAGGTAATTCGAGTAATATATTTTTGAGGGAGTAGGAGCAATTCGAGTCGTTTGAGTACACTTTTTCCTCTGAAACTTTGTGAGTGAGGCATGTTGCATTGGGAGGCTCGATTCTTTGTTGTACCTTTCTCGTTCTGGGTTTAGGGAGGAGCAAGGGAATCGATTTTTTGTCCCTGTTCTGCTACTGTTTTCTCTTTCCCTCTTTCAGTTTATGTGTTTGTTTCTTCTGTGTACTAGAGGGATGGCTGTAATTTTTAGTGGGTAGCTGCTATTTGCAATGTTGTGGGTATTTTGGGTTGTTTGGGAATATTTCCATTTGAATTTGTTGATTTATAGCTTGTGAGTTGGTAGTTAAGGTCATGATCTTAGCTTTTGGGGATGTTTAGTTGGTGGCCTGATGTGGTTGGACCTCGGTTTTCTGTTGTAGTGAAGAGGTGGTTGTTATGCGTGCACGAATGAACAGCTGCATCAGCACATTTTCTGGATCATTATCCTTGATCCGAAGCAGAAACCTATCATTTTGGTCAAGACATTGATTCGATCTTCTCTTGCAGGGGAGGCTGGTCAATCATGAACGGAAACTCCTCGTTCCAATGTGGATGGCTAGTTTTCCTGATCATCCGAAATACAACCAACAACCAAAGACAATAAATCTGGAGTTCTGCACAGGCTCAATGCCAGAATAGCGTGAAATGAACTTATTCATTTTTCATTGCGAATTGAATCATTGGTGGGGAAACTTTACAAATATTGATTATGATTATACTAATGGTGCGCTGGTGAACAAAAGAAGACAACTGATTTGTTTACTGGTATGTTGCTCTTTAGCTTTTAGATATGAGAACAAGGTAGCGAAGAGGGATAGAATTGGATTGGCTTGTTGTCTTCTCCCCTGTGCTTTCTCCACCATAGTCTATATGGAGTTCTGTTTTAGTCTCCTTTTGAACTACGGAGAAGAGGATTACTGGGTTCCCTGTGATTGATGATCACTGGAATTTGGTACACTTTGTTTTCTAACTCGTGTTGTTTAAATGTCTGTGTTCATGTGATTTGAATGAGGCCCAATTGCATAAATGAGGCCCAAAGATTATTCGAGCCCAGCACCCTGTGCTCCGCGGGTGTATTGCTGTCATGCATCACCGAGACTGATTGGGAATTTGCGCCCAAGCCCGATGACTCTGTCTCAGTCTCCATTCTTCATCCAATCTGTCAGCGAGTACTATGAAAGAGGAATTACCACCAAGCTCAAGCTACATTCAGGAACAGGGGAATCTTCATATTCAGGTATTGGGACAAACCCATTTAATTAAGCGTACATGATTGCATTCTTCACCATCGCGGGGTAGACTCCAGCAATTAGCGGCTTCCACCTGTGGTCTTCGATTTATGAGTGCATGCTTAATCGTGTATGTAGCTGCTTTTCCAATTTGCTCCTCTGATTTCAACTCCTTTCACTTTTGCTCCGAATAATCATGTGTTGAAGATGGTGGTTTTTGGATTCCATTAGTCCAAGATAGATAGAAAGAGAAGCTGATGGCTATAGAAAGACCAGAGTGTCCTTCAACCAAAGTTGTTGCTCCTCTTGGTTATTTAATTTGGTTGATTCTAACAAAAGTTGTGCATGAATTACACGTTGCAGGTTTCCCCCTTTCGTCAGATTATCGAGGGAGACGAAGAGGGAAGATGAGAGAGTACTAGGGCCCAGTCCTATCCCTCCTCCAGCCGGTCCGCCACCGCCAGCCCGTTCCCTGCGAATCCACCATCACCGCCGGGATCTTGACAGAACACTTCCTTGTAAATAGCGGCGGCGTCCCTCGGCTTAAACTTGAAGACATGATTGAAGAAGGAGGTGCGGAGTCAACGAAAATCACCACCGTCGTGGTTCCCTTCTCTCTCTAAATCGCAAGAGATTTCTGCTCGCCGGTGAGCCTCTTGCCGCCGCGCGATTTCTGATCGGTGGTGGTCCTCCATTACTGATCTTATTTCTCTTCGTCTGATCTTCTCTTCCCTTATGAGATCCCCTTTTCGATGTCTTCCATTGGCCAATCTTGGGCGGATTTGTTCGGCATCACCGAAGCAAATCGACTGGTTTATATCGAGCCAGAACTTGTTGATGGCGGGTTGAGGATCCCAGAGAAGCTTGTTCAGGAAGGTGAAGTCAGATGGAAGCACAGTCTTGTTGGTCAGTTCCTACATTCAACCCTTTCCGTGAAGCAGATTTAGAGTTGGGCGAATCGCCTTTGGGGGAAATCTGGTCTGATTAGGGTTTTGCGGATCAGTGAGCAGCTATTTCTCTTCCAATTCCCCAATGCGAAAGCAGCTGATTGGGTCTTTACTAGCTGGATGTGGCACTTCAACAACGACATGTGATTCCTTCGACAATGGTCAGCGGGAATTCGAGTGGTAAACTGTGATTCCACCATTCCTATCTGGATTTGTTTTCAAGATCTCCCTATTGAGTTTGCTACTGGTAAAATCTTGACCCGTATGATTAGTATGTTGGGTCGTCCACTATGGTTTGACCAATCCACTAGATTGGGTAGGCGAATGGGGTTTTCCAAGGTCTATGTCAAGATGTCCATTGATTCTTCTTTTCCAGAGACTCTAAAGTTGGTTCCAGATCGGAAACCTGCATTCTTGGTAAGCTTGGAATATTGTAATAGGCCGGTGGGATGTCAGAAGTGCAAGGTGTTTGGTCATCAGTGTGAAGTTTCATAGGGGGAGGATAATCTGGAGTCGGGGGTGAATCAAGAAGGTCAGGAGGTTGTAGAGACGATGGATATTGAGGAAGTGGGAGTTGAGGTTGGAACTGGTAGTAGTGCTGGGCAGTTGATATTGGAAACTATTCTTGCTTCGAAAGGAAAGGCTCAGGAGTCTGCTGAGTTAGCTTGTAGAAACTTGAATCTCGCAGTTGCGAACCTGGTTAAATCCATAGAGTGCAACTGGTTAAATCCATAGAGTAAGGTGTGATTGCTGAATGGCAGAAGTCAAATGTTGCTATTGAACTGCCGACGAACAGTGAGTTTCAGACAGCTCTGGTGGGGCAGCCTGATGTTCCTACTGCTTTGAATGCTGTAGGGGGTCCTGTTTTGCAATAGGGGATATTGTAGTTGGTGGTCCTACTCTGAGTAACCTTGAGGAGTTCCCTGTGCTGGAGGTGGGAGGTAAGGGTAAGGGCAAGCAAGGTAAGAAGGGGCTAGGTAGGCCTGCAAAACCTAAAACTAAGAAATGAAGGTGCTCGCTTGGAATATGAGGGGATTTAATCACCCCGACAAGCAGCAACAGATTTTAGAAGTAGTGGCTAGAGAAAATGTAGATGTGTTTGGAGTCATTAAAACACGGGTGAAGGAAGAAAAATAAAACAATAGTGGCTTTAAAGTTTGATAGATGGGAGTTTGCTCATAATTATGAGCATTCACCTTTGGGTCGGTTGTGGGTATTTTGGAAGAATGGTCTGGATTTTACTGTGTTAGAAACGTCAGATCAGTTTGTACATGGAGTAGTTAGGGGTGAAAAGACTGCAAAAATTACTTTTGTCTATGAATCCAATGATGAGGGTGCAAGAAGAAGAATGTATCGCCACCCTGCACTTAAGCCATATCCTCTACCATGGCTAGTGTTAGGTGATTTTAATGTTGTGCGTTGTGTCCCTAAAGCTTCAAATAGTCTAGTTAGAACTCAGAGTATGGTTGATTTTGATAATTGGATTGTCAATATGGAATTGGAGGATAGTAGCTTTGAAGGTCCATATTTTTCTTGGACAAATCGACAAGAAGGAAACCCCATAGCAGGAAGAATAGATAGGGTTCTGGTAAATGCTAGGTGGTTGGCTGAGTTTCCTAACTATGCAGTTAATCTTCTCCTCCCAGGGCTCTCTGATCACTGTGGGATGCTCATGAATTCAGATACACATATTACCTCCTGCCTAAACCATTCATGTATTTCAGCAGTTGGGAATCTCACCCTCAATATAAACAGATAATCAAGGATGCTTGGAGCAAAATATTCTGTGGTACTCCTATGTTTAAAGTGTACCAGAAACTGAGGGAGGTAAAAAGGTAGTTGAGAAAGTTGAATAGGTCCTCCTACTTAGAGATTTCGGACAGAGTGAGGCTTGCAAAGAAAGACATTGAAGTGTTGCATCTGGAAGCTCTCTTGCATCCTTCCCCTGAGTCTTTTCAGAAAGTGAATTCTTATCAGATTTTGCTCTATGCTCTTCTTAAGGAAGAGCAGGCTATTTACAGGCAAAAGTCTAGGATCCTATGGGTTAAGACTGGAGACTTAAATACTTCTTTCTTCTACAACTCTGTAAAAGCTCGGCAGGCTCGTTCAACTATTAAGAAGGTGGTCTCAGAAGAGGGTGCAGTTCTGACTGAATTGAAAGATATGAGTGAGGAGGCAGTAAGATTCTACCAAAATTTGATAGGAACAAAAAATTATGATGTTCAAAGGGTGGGTAGTGGTCTGATTTCACAGCTGTTAGTTCATACACTCACCTCTGAGCAAGCTAAGCCTCTCTGTAGCCCAGTTACTAGAGAAGAAGTCAAGATAGCAATGTTCTCCATGAAAGGTGAGAAGTCCCATGGTCCGGATGGCTTCACAACTAGTTTCTATAAGCACAATTGGGAGATCCTGGGAGATCAAATCACTGTTGTTGTACTGGATTTCTTCAGATCAGGAAAACTACTTTCAGAGGTAAATTCCACTTACTTGGCACTCATTCCTAAGGTGCTAAATGTTGACTGTATGAAACAATTTCGGCCTATATCTTGTTGCAACATTTTATATAAATGTGTAGCCAAGATTCTTGCTAATAGATTGAAGGAAGTCTTACCCCTAGTCATAAGTCAGAATCAATCTGCTTTCATAAAGGGCAGATTAATAAGTGATAATGTTCTGTTGGCTCATGAGATGGTTATGCTATACAACAGAAAGTCTATATCCCCTAGATGTGCTCTCAAGGTGGATGTGATGAAGGCATTTGATAGTGTTGACTGGACTTATCTAGAAACTGTCATGATAGCTATGAAATTCCCAACTCAGTTCGTTGATTGGATTAGAGTATGTCTCAAGTTGTATGTGGGTATTTTTCAGCTAAGAAAGGGTTGAGACAAGGGGACCCTCTATCCCCCTATCTTTTTACCATAGCTATGGAGGTTCTGTCAATGCTTAATAGAGCCTATGTTGTAAACACCATCCCACGTCATCCACAAACACATAGAATAAGACTTTCACACCTATGTTTTGCTGATGATCTACTGATCTTCACAAGGGGGACTCCTGAAGTTGTGGGGATAACTAAATCAATTCTGGATACTTTCTATGATGTTTTATGGGTTGAAGTGCAATCCTGCAAAGAGTGAGGTCTTTGTGGTGGAGTGGATTCCAGTGTTCAAGCCCTCATATCATCTAGAACTGGTTTTGTAATTGATCATCTTCCTGTCCGTTATCTGGGGATTCCGCTTATAGTTGGGAAGTTGAATTCTGCTGACTGTGCTGCTTTGGTTGACGAGATCACTGCAAGGATTAGGGGGTGGAAGGTAAAATCTCTATCCTATGATGGCAAATTACAACTCGTAACTGCTATAATTTCCAGTATTACTCAGTATTGGATGAGAATTATTCAACTCCCAGTCAAAGTACAAAAGCAGATTGAAAAAGCATGTTCTGATTTCCTATGGAACTCAGAGGAGGATGGAAAAAAGGCCAAATTACTATGGAAGGTGGTAGCAAG